ATAAGGAGGTTTTGCCTAGTGCGGTACGTATTAGTGTGTGGTTCGTAGGTTGCTATTAGATGATGTGTGGAAGGGGATCAGTCCTAGAAAATCCCAGGTGAATACCTTGATAAGGCAATGGTGTGGTTTCTTATTGAAGTCGAGAGGTTGGATGTTTTGTTAAGTCAGGTCACTTCGACATAAGTGTCCGTCGTCCAGTTTGGATAGTGGTAACACAAGCAAGGCAGTAGAGTTGTGAAAAGTGAGTAAGGCACCTTGTTAGATTCATTTTGACCCGTTTGGCCCTTGTTTGTACGTGCAAGGCACGGGGGTGTGCAATGTTATCCGTTATGTCGTTACGTTATTGAAAATTTTAAGTGTTTATGAGTCCTTTTTTTTTATGAAAGTTCTGGTTTTGGGTATTGTGTCATCACTATGAGTATGGCGGGTTTTGTGGGATGGCTATGTTGAGATTTACTGAGGGGTCATTGAGTACTCTTCGTAAACTAAAACGATTGTGAATTGAAATGTGAGTTTTGCTACCCTTATTTTCGGGAAAATAATTTGAGAGAAATCTTTGAGTTCGGCTGTGGCCAGTTGTAAATGGCATGTTTAGTGGTAGCCTTACGAACCTGAATATTTTACGGGAAGTTAGACACGACCTAGCCTGAGTTGCCGGTTATATGCTGTGTGATTTTGGCGAGACCTTGAAGTAGGGGGGTAGTAATGTGCCGTAATATTGTTCCCTACCTGTGCTTCGTCTTACATACGTGTTTTGTGAGAGTCGACTGGAAGCCTTGTGTACAAATGTTTCCGTGTTTTTCTTTGTTGGGATATTAAGTACCAAATACTGGTTTGAGTGTTGTGAGTAGTCGAGACGTGGTGGATGTCTCAGAACACTGTAGTGATTGAATGTGTCTTACTATTATCGTTGTTATCGAGTCTGGCTAGGCCGGACCTTTCCATTCGTAAGGTATTATGAAAACGTAATGGGGGTTGAGGAAACCACTTGGGTGAGTGAATTTCAGCTCCGCGAGAAAAATACAGAACTATCTATGGATGTTGAGCATATACCGTATTTCTGTTGTGTTGTTAAAATCTAAGAGCATTGGACATGTCTTAAGTTGTGAAACATTGCATATGTTTTAGTTTATGGAAATATTTCGAAACTTACCCTGAAATGGAAGTTTAATGTAATATTGCCCGTGTAGAATGTATTGAGGAACTGGAAATATACCATGAACTTTAATTGTGTTATGAAATTGTGAATCATGTATATTGGAAGTTTTTAGATTTGAAAGGAATGCATGTTGTAGCATATATTGTAAATGGCCCCTTCAATAGGGATGAAGTGACCAGTAATGGGTCAGGTTGTTAAATATTAAATTGTAATATTGTTGAGAAATTGATTTAACTTAAACGTTATGAAACATTTCAATGAGAGGTATTTGGCAAGTGAATTGTGGATGGTCATGTGTTATGAATGACGCTGTGTTTATGCAAAATGTTTACAAAACTTTTTAAGTTTCGCATGGAAAATGCAAAGTTTGTTTTGGAATGCTAACATTGAAAATTTGAGTTTTCTTGGAGAAGTGCCTCATGAACAAGAAAATAAATTCCCTTATATTTGTACAAAAGATTTGCATTGGTTGTTTAATTTGAAATTTTGATCATTGAGTAGTGACTTAGCTGGGAGCACTAGTCGGGTGTTTTGGTGATTTATCTCGGGAAGAGTTTAGTTTTGTTGAGGTCTTTTGTGCTTGAGTGTTGTCTTGAAATGTGCTTCCTTAGTTAGTTCTTTCTTTTGTGGGAGTTAACTAGAAATTCATTGAGAGAATAGTTTCTTTTCTTAGTGCTCGGGTGTTGAGTACTTTGCAGTCGGTTGGCCTTGTAACTTTGGTGTTTTCTAAATTTTGGGGACGAAATTCTTTAAGGGGGGGAGATTATAGCGATCCCAGGTTTCACCCCCTTTATGTACAGTGTTCCGGACTTAGGTCCCGTAGTATTGGCTGTTGTATTATCTTATTTCCGTCATTCAACACGTTGTATTTGAGTTATAGGATGTGTTGGGCAGGTTGTTACAGGTTAGTTGAACTTAGAAACCAAAAGTAGTTGCCCAGGTTTTTGCCTTCACGCTGGAGCGGAGATTTTGATGCTCGAGCGGGCCCTTCGTTGTTGCTTCTCCGCTCGAGCGGTTGTTTTGATGCTCGAGCATGATTTTCCATCCCCCAGCATTTTCCCTCTGCGTTATTGGATGCTCGAGCGGGAGTTCTGACGCTCGAGCGTAAGTTTGTATAGACGCTCTAGCGGGAAGTTTTCCGCTCGAGCGGGGACCTGGTTCAGCAAAAGTTCTGGGAGTGTGTATCCGCCGCTCGAGCGGGAGTTTTGGCGCTTGAGCGGGTGTCTGTGAGTTACGCTCGAGCGGGGTTTTCCATGCTCGAGCAAGGCGATTTTTATATTAACTTCGGGAGTCCATTTTTGAATCACTTTTCAACATCCTTTCTCTCTCTTACTTTTCTGAAAAGGCCATTTAAGAGCTTCTCTCACTAAAACTCAACTTCTCTCTAAGTATTGATCTAGTATGAGCGATTTTCTCACCTTTGGCCTTTACAAAAGTTGTATTGATCGTCGATGGCTACGTTTTGATCCGACCATATTGAGTTTTGAAGCACTTTGGGTTTCGTCATCTTCTCCCTTTGAGCTCCGAATTTGAGGTAGGGATATCCTACTCCTTATGAGTTTGTCTTTGAATCTTAGCATTTTGATATGTTGGGGGTCGTTGGGAAATTTGGAGAAAGTTTGGGTCTTTGTGTAATTTTACAAAAGTTGGGATTTTATTTATTATTACCTTTATGCATGTTGGATTGTTGATAGAAATGTAACCTTAGGGTTGTTTTGTTAATTATGGCAAATGCCCTAATTGCATTGTTAAATTAATTTGCGAAATAAATGTGAGAAATGAGAAATGGAATTGAAAATGTTGGAATTGGGAATGTATGAGATTAAAGGGTGTAGTTAGATTATTTATCACTCACCAAATTGAAATGTCAATATTTTACCCATTTGGCGCATTTATTTTCTGTTTAGAAGTAACTGTTTTGGGCTATCGGTGGAGGATAGTCTTGATTGTTGTAGACAATGCATGATGATTAGGCAAACTAAAACTAATCGATTAAGTGTACTATTGAATATAGCGATTGGAATAATACATTAACTTTATGTATTGATTGATTGTATATGATAACTGTTTATATAAATTGTTTGTGTGGGAGGAGAAAGGGGCTGTACTCCACGGTTTATTGGAAGAAATGGGCTGTACCTCTAAACCGGAAGGTTTATTTGAAGAAAGGGGCTGGACCTCTAAACCGGAAATTGTGTTATGCAGATATAACTCATATGCTTATCTATTGAAGTGCAGATACAGCTCATATGCTTATCTATTGAAGTGCATATACAGCTAATATGCTTTTTTGTTGATGTATTGATACAGCTTGTATGGTTATTTGTTGATGTATTGATATAGCTAGTATGCTTATCTATTGCGAAATGTAAATGCTTAATATGAGTGTCTGTCTCATATAGGTTGTTTGACCAGGTTCTGAGTCATAGTTATGAATTGAGAATTGGATAAGAAACGGAAAGCGAATGTAACATGGACATGATTGTCGTGAAACTGTAACACGGTATAAATTGGAATATAAGTGTGGACCACCCATTGAACGCTATTATCTTACTCATTGTTTATAGTTGGTTTAGTGTATTTCTACTGGGCTGTGGCTCACCCTATATGGGACACCATTTTCAGGTACAGGAAACATGCCACTTCCAAGGGCGTAGTTTGGGTGGCTAGAGGCAGACAGACTGCTTTTGTTGTTTTGTTTTCTTTGATGTATTATATGTAAATTCAAGCCAAGGGCTTAAGACGTATTGAGTTAGTACTCTTCTCTTTTTGTAACCAAGTGTTAACTTGGAAAGCTGTAAGCCCGTAGCGCATTTGTTTGTTAGTAGCATGTAATATTTCTGTAAGAGCTACTCTGATTAATAGAAAGATATTTATTTCTCGTACATCATTGCATGTCTAAAATGATGGGTTTTATGTATTATTTTGAGGGCGTGACATAAGCTTTTGACAGACCCTAAACATGGGAGAGCCCTTGACATATTTTCTCCAAACATCATACACTCTAGGGAGGAATTCAGCATGGTCGGCCCAAAAATCAAAAAACTTAAAAGGTTTATTTAGTTTAACCGCATCAGATCCAAGATACACAATCACAGGAGAATGATCAGAGACTCCTGGAGGCAAAAATAGTGCATAAGAGTTGGGGTTAATAGTTAATCACCTCTCGTTAACAAGGACTCGATCAATTTTATAAGTAATAAAATTACCACCCCCACGCTTATTCGACCAAGTAAACTGACACCCTTTATAACATAAATCTTCCAACTCAGAATCCAAAACCATATTATTAAAAGTGTCATTTGCAGTATTCCAACCCTCCTTCCCCCCATTTTTTCATAGGAAAACCTAACAGCATTAAAATCACCAAGAAAGACAGAGGGGTGACTAGCATGATTGATAGCAATTTTCCTTAGATCACAAAAAAGTGGAAGTCTCAACTCATGCTTATTTTCTGCATAGACAAAAGTAGCAAAGAAATTGAAATTTCAAAAACAGTCACCTTAACAAAAATGAAATGGTTTGACTTTTGAACCACCAAAATATCACAAAAGTTTGGGTCCCAACAAATCCAAATTCGAGCTGGCAGATCTGGTTGTGCATTAGACAAGAAGTTCTAATTTTTAAAGCTATGATCAAAAAGATTAGTTTCATTTTCCATCTTCATTTTTGTCTCCAAAACGCCCATAATTTTAATGCCTTCTTTTTTCACAAAATCAATAACTTTATGTTTTGAAGGGTTGTTAAACCCTCGAACATTCCAAAAAGAAAGTTTTATAGACATGATTAAAATAACAAAAATGAGAACACAACTAGATCACCACAAAAAAACAGCACTATTTTACCTCTTTTTCATCCTCTGGCCTCCTGAAGTTCTGCCAGAAGACCTATTCTTGGTTGCACTACCCATATTTGTTCCACTATCTCCCTTACTTCCCTGGATTTCTGGTGAATTTGCTCTCACTTCCACTTTATCCACATGCTCAATGCTTCTAATAAAATCCTCTACTGCTGGGTTTATGATTTTTGCAATTTCCACAACCTCAGATTGGAATGCAGCTATCTGGTCAGTGGCAATAGCAGCAATTTCTTCAATCTCAGAATGGATGACACCCCCTTTCAGGCTGGACTTCAGTCACCATATCATTTCCCTTTGTGGCAGATGAACTGGTTTCATCAACATGGACATTTTTGATAGGAGATGAGTGGTCACCAACTTTTCGTTTACCCTCATCCCTTACTTTCATCCAGCCCCCAACAGATTCCACCTTTTCCTCAGTATTCTTCTGTAACTCAACAAGTTTTTCCACTTGAGCAGAAAGACAAGTCTTTGTATCATGCCCAAAGACTTGGCAATGTAGACATTGAGAGGGAACACCTTGATACTCCACATGAATAGGAACAGAATCATCCCCACTAGTGAGGGCAAAACTGTCAGGGAAAGCAGAGGTTGTTGGAATATCCACACAAACTCTAGCAAAAGAAATTCGGCTACCTGAAGATGTAAGTTGATCCATAAACAATGGAACCCCCACTGCACTAGCTATCCTACTTAAACCATCCCTATCCCAATATTCCAATGGTACATTGAAGAATTTCACCCACACAGGAATAGTTTTCTTATCTTCTTTAGACAGCTTCATCATGCGATGCCACTGTTTAAGAATGAGAAGAAAGCCTCCCACATACCACGGCCCTCCCTCTAACACATCTACACAACAGTCCCGATTTTCAAACATGAAGAAAATAAAGCCATCATCATTTTTCATAATCTCAACAAGCCCCCTTATTCTTCCACATATTGAGAGCATTATTCTTGATAAGGGCATATGGAAGATTTTTATCAATGAAATACCCAACCAAGCAAGCTTCCCATTTTACCACGGGGGAAGAGGGTGGCATTTCAACAACATTTTTATCTTGATCCAGTTTGGGAGGATAATATTTGAGACTCACCTCTGACCTGACTGAGGCAGAGGCCACATTTGCCCAAGATCGCCCCTCAGGGGTTCTATACTGCCCTCTACCTCCACGTCCACCCCGGTAGTTGGTGTTTGTCCCACGACCACGATACTGAAAGCCACCAGGAGTATTACCGTCAGAGCCTCTAGGGTTCGAATCTGATTCGTCAGAGACGAGATCATTTTGACTCGCGATCCCTCTAGGTCCTTCCTCTTCACCAGCATCAACACCCAAGACTTGTTGACCCAGATAAAAAATTCCCCTCTCTTTTGAACCAGCAGGAGGGGAAGATGATTTCTCGATCACTTCAACCATCGATGCATGTTGATGCGCTATACCATGATTTTTGGTAACCTCAACACTGTCTGGGAGATCCAGAAGCTTTGATCGTTGTTCTTCTTCAACCTTACTTGACCATTTGGCCGATTGAGACAACGGTGTCGATAGATCTACAATAGCGAATCTGATATAAGGACGACTAGTCTGGATGTCCTTTTCCAGATCTAGCCTTGATAGCCGCAAGCCGATCGGAAATCGCTTGAATCGATTTCGCCGTGACCCCTCACTCTTTCTTCTCACTCTTATTTGCAAGCACCACTAGGGTTTCTAACTCTTCTACTAATAGTTTCAAACTCTTAGGGCTATGCGTACCACAAGATCCAGTCAAATCACTCAACTCATTTACTCTCTCTTCATTTAGAACATTCGAGTTAATGTTTCCATCGGAACCCAAAACACTAGATATCAAATCTTTTGTTTCCATATCAGTTAATACCCCCCGCAGTTCAATGAGAGTATTGAATGCAAACCCTAGAGAGAAGGAGAAGCTTCTCAGTCAAACCCATAGGTCGCCTAGGCTCTCTGGCCACTTAAGCTAAAGAAACTAATAGTTGGATAAGCTAATTAGTTCCTAGAACAAAAGAGAGAAGGATGAAGAAGGACGGAGAGAGATAGAGAGAAACATTCTTTTTCATAACTAGAAGAGAAAATTAGAGAGAAGAAAGGAAATAGAATGAGAATTAAAGGGAATTCCAATTGATCCTTTTGGACTTGAGAATCAAACACTTGGGCAATTTAGAAAGCCTTAAATGATGCGCTCAAGTCAAACTAATACCGTTAAGCTACAATTACTGTTTAAAATCTCTTTCTCGGAGGCTAAGCAAGATCAGTTTGAGTTAAGCTTAGCCACTTAAGCTAGTGAAACTGTTAGTCCTAGAACAAAAGAGAGAAGTTGGAGACGAACAGAGAGAGTTAGAGAAAAACTTTCTCCATGAGATCTAGAAGAGAAAGTTAGAAAAAAGAAAGAGAAATAGGATGCAAATTAAAGCGAATTCAAATTCACCCTTTTGGGCTTGATAATTGAACACTTGGGTGATTTAGAAAACATTAAATGAGTTGCTTAAGTTAAACTGTTATCATGAAGCCACAATTACTCTGTAGATTCTCTTTCATGGAGGCCAAACAAGATTAGTTCGAGTTAAACCCAGCCACTTAAGCTAATGAACCTATTAGCTGCCAAACCTAATTAGTTCCCAGAACAAAAGAGAGAAGGGTGGGGAACGACGGAGCGAGTAAGGGAGGAACTTTCTTCTTGAGAGCTAGAAGAGAAAGTTGGAGAAAATATAAAGGAAATAGGTTTAAAATCAAAGAGAATTCAAATTCATGCTTTTGGACATGAGAATTGAACACTTAGGTGATTTACAAAACATTAAATTAGTTCCTTTAGTTATCCTACATCGTCAAGCTACAATTACTCAGTGAATTCTATTTCTTGGAGGCTAAGCAAGATTAGTTTGGGTTAAACATGATCACTTAAGAGAATGAAGCTATAAGTTGCCAAACCTATTTAGTTCCTCGAACAAAACAGAGAAGGGTGGAGGAGGACGGAAAGAGTTAGAGAGAAACTTTCTTCTTGAGAGCTAGAAGAGAAAGTTAGAGTAAAGAAAAGGAAATAGGATTAAAATTAAATTGAATTCTAATTCATCATTTTGGACTTTAGAATTTAACACTTATGTGATATAGAAACCTTAAATCAGGTGCTTAAGTCAAACTAATATCATGACGCTACAATTACTTGGTAAAATCTCTTTCTTGGAGACTAAGCAAGATTAGCTTGAGTTAAACTTGGCCACTTAAGCTGATGAAACTATTAGTTGCCTAGAACGTTAGAGAGAAGTTACTGAAAAACAGAGAGAGTTAAAGAGAAACTTTATCCTAGAGATATAGAAGATAATGTTAGGGAAAAGAAAGGGGTTTGAAAACTAAAGTAAATTGAACTACATCCTTTTGGACTTGAGGGTTTAACACTTGGGTGATCTACAATTACTCAGTGAATTCTCTTGCTTTGAGGCTAAGCAATATTTGTTTTAGTTAAACTTGGCCACTTAAACTAATCAGGCAATTAGTTGCCTAACCTAATTAGTTCCCAGAACAAAATGAGAAGGCGGAGAACGATAGAGAGAGTTAGAGAGAGTCAGCCACGGTTTGCTGTAACGTTTAATAGGTTATTCAACCAGTTTTGTATAATTGTCCATATATCTTTCCCAAGTATCCATCTACTATTTTTTTTGACGGTAGAAGATACTTGGGGATAAAAATTGATATATGGACAATTTTGGATTTATTTAAGCTTTCTCTTATTGGGTGCCCCGCGGATGCGGGGGTGTTTTTATTATTTATTAGTTTCCCCCATTTTTTTTTTGGGAGGGGGGGGGGGGGGGGAATATATATATTATCATAATTTGTGTTGTGATTGATTATTTGATGAAATTGATACGAAATCCGACCATATTCAATTCGTTGATGGGGGATTCGGAATGGAACACCAAGTTGGCACCATTGAGGCTGAAATTCTGGTTCGGCCCATGATGTCATATAAAATTAAAGCGAATCAAAATTCATCCTTTTGGACTTGAGAATTGAACACTTAGATGATCTAGAAAACATTAAATGAGTAACTTAAGTTAAGCTAATATCGTTAAGCTAAATTACTCAGCAAAATCTCTTTCTTATAGGCTAAGCAAGATTAGTTTGTGTTAAATTTGGCCACTTAAGCTTATAAAACAACTAGTTGCCCAAGCCAATTAGTTCCTAGAACAAAAGAGAGAAGTTGGAGACGGACGGACGGAGTTATAGTGGAACTTTCTCCTTGAGATCTACAAGACAAAGTTAGAGAAAGGAAAGGGAATTAGAATGAAATTTGAAGGGAGTTAAAACTCATCATTTTGGACTTGCTAATTGAACACTTAGGTGATTTAGAAATTATTAAATGAGTTGTTTAAGTTAAACTGTTATCGTTAAGCTACAATTACTCAGTGAATTTTCTTTCTTGGAGGCTAAGCAAGATTACTCTTAGTTAAACTTGGCCACTTAAGCTAATGAAGCTATTAGTTGCCTAACCTAATTAGTTCGTCTAAAGAGAGAAGGGTGGAGGAGGACGGAGGGAGTTGGAGAGAAACTTTCTTTTTTGAGAGCTAGAAGAGAAAGCTAGAGAAAAGAAAAGGAAATAGTATTAAAATTAAAGCGAATTGAAATTCAGCATTTTGAACTTGAGAATCGAATACTTAAGTGATTTTGAAAACATTAAATGAGTTGCTTAAGTTAAATGAATATCGTTAAGCTACAATTACTCAGTAAATTCTCTTTTTTGGATGCTAAGCAAGATTAGTTTGTGTTAAACTTGGCCATTTAAGCTAATGTAACTGTTGGTTGCCTAAGGTAATTAGTTCCTAGAAGAAGAGGGAGAGGACTGGAGAAGGACGGAGAGAGTTGGAGAGAAACTTTCTTCTTGGGAGCTAGAAGAGAAAGTTAGAGAAAAGAAAGGAAACTAGGATGAAGATTAAAGTGAGTTCCAATTCATCATTTTGGACTTGAGATATATACACTTAGGTGATTTAGAAAACATTAAGTCATTTGCTTAAGTAAAACTAATATCGTTAAATTACAATTACTCAGCAAATTCTCTTTCTTCGTGGATAAGAATGATTAATTTGAGTTAAACATGGACACTTAAGCTAAAGAAACTAGTAGTTGGATAAGCTAATTAGTTCCTAGAACAAAAGAGAGAAGGATGGGGAAGGACGGAGAGAGTTAGAGAGAAACATTCTTCTTCATAACTAGAAGAGAAAATTAGAGAGAGGAAATGAAATAAAATGAAAATTAAAGGGAATTCCAATTGATCCTTTTAGACTTTAGAATCGAACACTTGGGCGATTTAGAAAGCCCTAAATGATGCGCTCAAGTCAAACTAATATCGTTCAGCTACAATTACTTAGTAAAATCTCTTTCTTGGAGGCTAAGCGAGATCGGTTTGAGTTAAACATAGCCACTTAAGTTAGTGAAACAATTACTCCTAGAACAAAATAGAGAAGCTGGAGACGGACTGAGAGAGTTGGAGAGAAACTTTCTCCATGAGATCTAGAAGAGAAAGTTAGAGAAAAGAAACAGAAAAAGGATGCAAATTAAATCGAATTGAAATTCTCCCTTTTGGATATGATAATTGAACACTTGGGTGATTTAGAAAATATTAAATGAGTTGCTTAAGTGAAACTGTTATCGTTAACCTACAATTACTCTATAGATTCTCTCTCTTGGAGGCCAAGTAAGATTAGTTCGAGTTAAACTCGGCCATTTAAGCTAATGAAGCTATTAGCTGTCTAACCTAATTAGTTCCTAGAACAAA